CGCCGGCATCAAATGTCAGGTGAGAGCTGAAAATCCCCTAAAACTATATGCTCAGGTGGATTTAGAGGTCGAATAAAAACAACACCCAAACACAATACAGCTGGGGGTTTATGTTACATGTATATGACAATCAATTTGACTGTTTCTTCTGCTTCTTACAGATGGATCATTCCTCTTTTCCGTGTGGCTGCACCAAGGACGGCTGCGGAAACACAGAGGGTCGCATCGAGTTCAACTCCACCAGGGTACAGACGCATTACATCCACACTATCATGAAGCTGGAGCTGGAGAAGAGGCTGGAGGAGCAGTCGAGCACAGAAGAGGAGGAGGAGAACACAACGGCGGCCTCTGCCTCTGTACCGGCGGTGCCCTCCTTCCCCTTTAGTTCCGAACTGGCGGCAGCTGGAGAGAACAGTTGCAGCAGCGACATGACGGACTTATCAGACTCCTCGGGTCAGAGTGAGGACTCCGAGGCAGGCGAGAGCCCGTGTGAGCACCGAACCCAGCTGGATGTGGACGAGAAAGGGCTGAGCCGTATCCTCAGCTTCAGCGAAACGGAGAACTGCTCGAGAAGTAGCAGGGACGGTGGGGATAAGAACAGTAAAGACACTTGCTGCCCAGATCAACGGCAAGAGCAACAGCAGCCATCTACAGAGACGTTTAGTAGCTTTAGCATGGTGGACTTTGCCGACGAGAATGACAATATAGACGCCGCACTGTTGGACTCTGCAGACGATCACACAGACAATCGAGCAACAGCCATTTCAGAACTTTTGGATGAGAACGCCAACCAGGGAAATGCCCTATTCCATAGCAGTAGCGTGCCACACACGCCCTCCCCTACCATCGATCGCTCGGCGAGCTATAACATGGACCTGAGCCTCTCCTCGGAGTCGGACCTGGAGTTCTTTGATGGTTTCCCCTGCTTGGGGTCCAGCTCGCTCTACAACTCCCTCAAGGAGTACGAACACATGGACAACTTTTTTCAGTTTCAGTTGCCTAGTTACCCCAGCTTCCCTGCGGCTAATGACCCCGGGACCTGCCTCCTGGAGTCACTGATTGGCCTTTCAGAGTCCGTCCCCGAACCCCCTGCCACATTTACAGACAATCAGCTGTTGGAGGAAGCCATGAAATTGTCTGTGATGGAGTCTGTGAAAGTTTGACAAAACGTGAAAATCTTTGGACAGTGCAAGTGGAAAAAAAAAAGGGTGGGGGGGGGTTTGGGAGGGGACTGATCATGCACATAAGATGTCAATGTCAACATGTTTGATTTTAGAGGAAGCTGTGATTTCCCTCTTGCCTAATAAATGTTTAAATTCCAGACTTGCCTTCAAAATGTTAGCAAAGCAGTTTGGGATTAATGCTGTGTGAGATGGCAGCTAGTGTTAAAAGTGAAAAGATACTGAATAGAGATCAATTTGACCAGGCCCATAGAAAACCAATGATGGCTCTCAATTCCTAAGAAAGCTCTTTTAACCAAACTAAGATCACCAACCATATGCTAAACAGGAAGTCAACTTTTTAATGGGGCCAGGTTGGGTATCTCAACACAGCTGAATGTGCACCTCAGGGATTTTTTTCTAGCTTTCTAGCTTTTGGAGGCAATGTATGGTGACCATTGCTGTGATGGCCTTCATATGAAACCCCGAGTCAAATCACAACATAGTCCTGTTCATGTCCTCCCTGTGGGCTTTACACCCAGGTGACTTGAGTAGGTGGGGGTCCTCCCTGTGTTGTATCCTGAAGCTAGTGGACTCTTTCTCCTCAAGATCTCTCCCAAGGGTCTTATATGGTACAAAAAAGAAAATCCCTCTAAAAGCTCCTCGGTCAGCACTTTATCTGTGAAAATAGTTATGTATGAATAGGCATTGTTTTGGTTGTGTGGGGTCGATTCAACAGTTCAACGCTAAATTATGGAGTTTCTTATTTATGAGCTGGGTATCTAGAAATAATGGCTCATACCATTAAAATCTGTAGCTGTATTATCTTTATTACCTTTGTTTTAAATTATTTCCTTTTATGATTTTAATTTTTATTTATTTCTGTTAAAGCCTACTTTCACTCAAGAAGCACTGTGGTTTGATATTTTCACCAGAAAGTGCAATCTTCCTTCCTTTTTTCCATATCACGTTTAGGCATTGGTATGGGAAATGGGACCACAAGTCCATCAGAAAGTATTTAATATCTATTCTCTTATACATTTAACATTTTTTTTCTAGTAAGTTATTATGTCATTATTTCATTAGTTATTTAATTTAAGACGTTTTGGCAATAAAAATGGGCTGTTGTGAAGTTTACTGGATGTGCCTGCTTATCAGGGGAGCCATGCCTGCCAATGGTGTGTGCACAGTGCTTCCATTTAAGCTTTGGGACTGAAAACTGTGGAATCTCCCTAATCACTGAAACTAAATTATGGGTCTATTGTATTGCTGCCTATAATGTAACCATAGAAAATTACACTAATATTTTGTAACTAATTTATGTAGGTTGACAAAAGAATTCTAATCACTGACAAATTGAATATTTTATTAAGAAATCAAAATGAGTAATTTTCAATCCGGGACAACCTTTGTAATATATGAATTATAGAGAAATGTATACTTATGAAGGTTATTGCTCTCTAGCATTCTGAAGTATTTTTCATAGGCAGTCTTATGGTTAGATATCTTAGCGAAATGCCACTAAAACTGAGTAAATTGAAACAGATCAATTTGATTGTACTCTGAATTTTTTGGAAGTCTGTGACTTGGGTTACAACATGTTATAAATTACACATGTAAAGGGATTTGTGGATAAAAACTGCATATATTATACAATTTTTATCGCACACGCAAACCCTGCAAATCGAAGAGTTGCCTCATTAATTACAGGACAAGACCTTTCAAAGGTGATTGTGCTGTCACCTGTGTTGAGGGACACTAGAGAGTTGATGTACATATCTCACCCTTTCTACAACTGTTTCAACAGCCTTTCTGGACCCTTTAGAAATTATGCATGCAGGTCCTGTTTGTTAAAACTTGTTCTAATTAATTGTATACTTTGAAAAGTGCAGAGTGCACATTGGAAATGTATTATTCGCTTTTTGCCTTTTTGATTACTTTCAAATCCATCCAATACATGTTCTTATGCCATGAAGAGGGCACTGATTTTTGCAAGCAAACATTTGTTTCTCTTGTACAAAACATCAATTCTCATGAAGAAATGGCAACAGTGAGTGTTTATCAATGTAATGTATTACAGTACAGCTTTTTTTAATTTTATTTTCAAAGAACGTGTCTTACTTTTTGCCTTTTGTGTTGTACATATTTCTGCTTGAATGGTCCTGCAGAGCAAACAAAGCTGCTTTATTTTTTACATATTCACACTTTAACCTGCTGTTCAAAAACAGTTTCTTTCATCTAAGCCATTTTGACAGCCTGTCCCTCCAAATAATAATAAAAAAAAAAAACATTTTCTAAATGCTTGACTCTGTTGTTTGTCATATGCTGTTTTTGTTATATGCAGTGGTGGAAGAAGTATTCAGATCCTCCATCGAAAGTTACCGTAAAGTTTTCCCTGAGACTGGTTTATCATCATCATCATCATCATTGTTATTATTATTATTATTATATGACGTTATTAGTGTTAGGGGTGGCATGGTGGTGCAGTGGTTGGCACTGTTGCGTCACAGCGAGAAGGTTCTGGGTTCGAACCATGGGCCTGGGGCCTTCCTGTGTGGAGTTTGCATGTTCTCCCTGCGCCTGCATGGGTTCTCTCCAGGTGCTCCGGCTTTCCTCCCGCCAGCCAAAGACATGCACATTCGGTTAATTGGCGACTCTAAAGTGCCCATAGGTGTGAATGTGTGCGCAAGTGGTTGTTTGCCCTCGCAACCCTACAAGGATAAGCGGTATAGATAATGGATAGTTGGATGAATTATTAGTGTTACTGATGTAATGCATAATGAATAAGAATAAGCATTTCACTGTTGTAGATGATTGAGGTGGAGCTAGTTTTGGCTGCTTTGTACAATGTGTTGTTTTGCGTTGTGGTTCGCAACCTAGGGGTCAGGCCCTTCCAAAGACTTGCAAGATAAATCTTACAGGTCATAAAATTATTAATGTGAATGGGGAATCAACTTAATGCCACATAATAAACCTCTGATGCATTAATGCCATTTAGATTTAGAGGCAGAGGACAAGCAAATGTGCCCATACAGTTGCTTTTTTTTATCATCTTATGTACATTTTATTGTCGTCTTAGCTTCCTAGCAGAAAAGAAAGGTTTTGCGCTCTAAAATACCAAAACCGTTATATTTTCTATACCATTAAAGGCAATATACAGTTCACAGTATAGGCACTGAAATGGCATTCTTTATGTGTTTTTTTGTGCAAACCACTGGAATTCATCTGTGGTTTCTGGTCTCCATGGTTAAGAGAAAAACACCCACTTCATGTGATGTCATGCTGTAGCCTCCTGACTACCACCACAAACATATGGCCCCGAGATTCCAGACAAGGAGGAAATGTCGGGCCTGTGACTGCACATAGCTCACATTTGGTCACAATTAAGAAAATTTGGTTCTTTCAGTGGATGTTTCAAGATTTTTTTTTTAGCTTTCTTTGATACATCAAAAAAAAAAGATTTACCTCCATGTTACTTCAGCCTTTTTAGCTAATGGAGGTCCAATCCCTTTGGTGTTTGGTTAAAAGCATCCATAATAACATCCTGAAGAATTTTCCATCCTCTTGGACTTGGAACTTGAAAGGTCAGATTGTAAACCTTCCTACTTTTGTGACCCTTTAACTGTGGCCCTGTTTACAGATGTGCTGGTTGTAAGCAAAGTACAATAGAAAAATGCATCCAATTAGAAAATAAAGACTGTGAGACTGTGAGAAAGTACAGGAGCTCCAAGAAATGCATCAAAGTCTGAGTGCCAAGTGTAAACATGATGCACTTTCGCCACCCTTTGGCTGAATTAAGAACTACAACCAAACACCCACTGCATATTAAACACAAATGACTTAAAGGCAGATGAATTTTATTTCACAGGTTCCATTAGATGGCTTGGGCAAAACACTGTGTCATCTAATAACCCTGTGTGACCTGAGGAAAGCATACAAAGAAAGAAAGAAAAGTCAGGCGACTGAAATATGGAGACATATTCTGAATCACATCGTAGAGGCTATAGAGGAGGCTTACTGAAAAGATCCATTCCAGGAAGAAGGAGACCCTGGTGAAGACGGTGGGCTTAGTCAGTTGGTTGCACATGCCAGATGGACCATAACTGACGACACCGTGGACTCTCCAAGCTCCGTCAGTGTAGCAGCTCAGGGGGCCTCCAGAGTCGCCCTGAGACGGGTAGCAATGAGAGCAGACACAAGAAGTGGGTTTAAGGACCATGAAGTGAGAAGTAGGATGTTACCTCTCACTCAGCCTCTTTTATACAGCTTTTCCCTGGCCAGTTATCTGCCGGGTGTTACCGTGGCAATGATAGTTGGTATTGTTGCGAGAATGATAATCTCTAATTGAGTTGAGACAAACTGGTTTCATGACGACACTGCCTTGCATGAGGCAGATGCGCATGTTTGTATACTGTACCTGGCAACCTGAAATGATTCCATCCCCTCCAGCACACACCATGGATCTCAGAGCAATGCTGCCCCACCATTCAGGCTGGGAGCAGACCGAATGCTCCACCACATTGATGGGAGCCACCTGGAGGATGGCAGGGACACTCCCTGAGTCTGTGAAGAGAGAGAGAGTAGGAATTTCTTTATTGAATGTGTGTGTGTGTGTGTGTGTGTGTGTGTGTGTGTGTGTGTATGTGTGTGTGCGTGTGTGTTTCTACTCACAGTCCATAAGGCCCCAGCCGGTGATGTAGCAGATGAAATCATGAGGCAGCATCTGCTCAGGGGCGGGAAGGTCAGCAACAGCCACGTAGCCATTGTTATACACAGGATTAGCCAGTTTCATGATAGCAATGTCATTCCTAAGAGAAACATAAAAACATATAATTGTATCATGTAGCAGCAAACTCCTGGGTGTAAAAAAAAAAAGCTTAAGTGCAAGTGTAATTACTGTGTGGTAGCCCTGTGGCTGACGAAGCACTTTTAAAATTGACCATCCCATCCACTTGTGAGGGAGAGTGGTAATACAGTATTTGCTCCCAGTTGTTGTCCCCACCTGTGATACTATTCCCTAGGGCAAATGCAATTACTGTAGCTTTACCCTTTGGCAAGGTCGCCAGTCCACTGAGGATGGACAGTAATCTTCTCCACGCGGATGAACTGCTCACTGCCTTCATACTCATACAGGTTATACTCACCCACCACCACACGGTACTGACTAGCTTCCATGCTGACAGGGACATATGAAACAAAAACACACTATTACTTACAATAATCACAAATGCATGTGAAAATGTACAAGTGATAGGTGAATACTGATGCCAACAAGAACCGCTCACAGCCCCTACCTGAGGATACAGTGAGCTGCAGTCATGATGAAGAAACTATCAATAAGAGTTCCTCCACAGAGGTGGTAGTATGATCCGTCATTGTATGAGTCCATCTGGAGAGAGATCTGAGAGAAAACAGAGACCAAATACACACAGGTGGAGGATTTCATGTTTTTGCAGAGATCATTCTGTATGATTAGGAAGAGAAGATCAGCGATAATTAACGAATTTGCTCAATAAGTAATAAGAGAATTCCACAGCAGCATTATAAACAAAAGCGCTTGAGTACCTCAAATGCAGAACATGATTTTAATCAAGTCAATGTCAATACCGCAACAGTAGAGAATCACTGTGAGTGTGTAGGTTTTACCTGCCATTTCCAGGTGTTGGGTTTAGCATCGTGGCCTCCTATGACCCTCTCATTGTGAACATTATGGTTGAAGGGTGCCTCAGCACAAATCAGCCCTTTGGTGTACATGTGAACATAAACAGAGTGTGCAATGGTAAAATTACTGTTTGTTTGTTTTTTTGTTTTGTTTTTTTAAATCTACAACAGCACGTAAAAAGTCTAGTGTTGTTGAAAATGGTGATGTATTTCTTGAAAAGCTTACCAATGCAGGATAGAAAAGCCACAAACCAAATCATGTTGGAGCAGTCCAGGATAAATGCAGTTTGCTTCTAACTATTTATATCAGTTTGATACTGGAAGACCTTCAGCAAGTATTAGGCAACCATTAAGTTTCCTGCCAATATCAGCAATTGATACGGATTACTCCAGATTGAATGTACTCTATGTCATGCCATACTGGAAGAAATTAGGGAAAGTGTGAAGAAATTAGGGAAAGTGTGATAGTCAGCAACCATTTATATATATATATATATATATATATATATATATAGGCTATCTCAAAATCCATATAGTTATACTGTCAATATATTTTCTTTTTTTTTAATAGGAATTAGGTTTTTAAAATAAAGCTCACATTTCTTATCATGGTGAGAAAAGTGCAGGTGCATTCATGTGAAGGCAAAGTCAGCTGAACCATCTGTAAAGAGCGAGGCTGGAAAGTTTCCTAGAGATAACTGTCTAAACTGATCAACAGCAAATGAATAGGAAAAATAATTCCACAGCCTGTTGATAGAGTTTGACCTTATTCAACCCCATGTTGTAAACAAGAGGACTATTCTTATTTCAGTCAAAGATACAGATGTGTTATGTGTATTATGTAACACAAGCATAAATAATCATATGCATATCCAATTACATGTAGAAATATCTGGAGGTAGCAGTTTATAAAATCAAATAAATATAAATTTCTAAAAATACAATCCATTTAAATATAAAGTCTTAGTTATCTGCTTAACATTGTCTGCATCTCTACACAAAACGTCAAAAGTTAACTGGAGATTAAGTTCTGCCAGAACACATAAGACCTGTGTGTAGATGAGGGGGCAGTCCATATTCCTGACAGAACTTGTTCTTTCCAGATCTTCAAATTAATGCAATATTCAGTGGTAACTGTAGCTGAATGTAAAATGCTCCCTTTCTTTGGTGTTAGGCTGAGAAAGGTTATTATTCTTGTATACCAATTAAATATGGGAAATCAGATCATTTTAAAACAATTAAAACATTTTTCAAACAAATCTGTTTATGTTTCCTCCAACATTTTCCATGTAAGGCCACAAACTGTCACATCTATTTGTGTGTACATCTTCTTTTTTTTAATTAAATATCCAAATTCATGAATGAGATTGTGTATATTTTACACCAGCGTTGCCTGTTGTTAGGCAACCACGTAGCAGGCGCCGGCAACAGCTAATCGAACGCAGTTTGCGTGATAGCATCATGGAGATGAAGCCCACTTGGGGATCGATTTTTCTGGCATCTCTATTTATTAGCTTTGCCTAGCCCTCCGGCGCCTGCTGTTAACCTGCCTCAGCTGTTGGCGCTAGCTAGCTGGTATCAGCTGTGTAGCTCATAGTAATGCCTTCTAACATTACTCTACCTCAGTGACATTTAGTTGGTGCTTGTCAAACGGAACTGTTAAAAGCAATGGGGCTACCGCAGAGCTCGTTTTTGTCGGACGGTGGAACTAATAGTGGATATCATGTCCACGGGGTACGTTGTAGCGTAGTACAAGGTTATGCACAGCCCTCGGTTCGCTCACTGTTTGAATCTTATGCTAACTATGTTAATCCTGAACAGACATTGTTGTATTTTTATATGAAGAAACGCAATAGGTGTTTGGCAATTGACAGGTTACTCTGTAACTGTAATAACTCGTAAAACAATCGTCAGCTTTAATGGTGTCCGCCCATGATGAGGTGGCATCTGGCACACACCCAAATTTGCTTGCGACTGTAACTGTTTAGTCACTGCAGAAACAGATACTAGCACTAGCATTAATACATCAGCTTATTCAATATGTGAGGAGCACCTGCTGTGTGATGTCTCGCATTGAGGAGCCCCAAATTCTGCCCACTGCAATATCTTTAGTTGACACACGGGGGCGACTATGATAACTACTGTGTGTGAAATAAAATAAAATAAATCTCAAATGTTTCAGGTTCAAGAGGACTCCCCTGCTCTGAAGTCTGGTCTGGAGCCCTTCTTTGACTTCATCCTCTCTATAGGAAATACCCGACTTGTGAGTAGACACCTATGATGCTAAAGTCAAGAGTACCTTTGACATGTCCCCAGGCCAAATGCCACAATATTACCAAATGATAAACAGTAGGTTGTATGGGTAGCATGTGAATTAAGTGGGTTGCGTGACAAAAACGATGATTTCATATGATGAAATTAGCAAATTGATTAAATTATTATTATTATTATTATTATTATTATTGTCAACCATTTGCATGACAAGGACATTTTCTGTGATCAGTTTTGGCTCTACTTGTTTATCCAGTTCAGCGACAGAAGGCATGATCCTTTGAAAACATGCCACCAAGTAGCTATTTATCCCAAGGTGTTTGCATAATGGTCACTTTTTATGAAAGTCCTATCCCTGCAGAGGAATGTTGAGACCGTACCTTTAGCTCAGTAGAGCTAGATGTGTGTCAACTTCCTTAAGTCATACATGAAACAGCAAAGATAAACTTCTTGGTTTTGACTTGCTGTGGATTTGTTTCTTTTGCTTTGATATGATTTTAGATATTTTTAAACATTATTTATTATGATGTGTGTACTTCTGTTCTGTGTTGTACTGCTAACCCAATAAGAAAGCCAATTTGTTCTTCCTTACAATAAAATTTAAACATCAGGCCTGTATCTCCAGTCTCAGGAGGAAAGATGGCCATATGGTCCGCTGACATAATCTCATTTCATGTTCTTTTACCTGAAATTCGGTTTCGTCATGTCTGTGCTGTCACAGCTGGGTTGCTCAAAATTTCTCTGTCTCACCAGAATAAAGAGAGTGACTTGCTGAAAGATCTCCTAAAAGCCAATGTAGAAAAAGCAGTGAAACTTGAAGTGTACAACTCTAAAACCCAGCGGGTGAGGGAACTGGAGGTGACACCCAGTAACATGTGGGGTGGTCAGGGTCTGCTGGGGGCTAGCGTCCGCTTCTGCAGCTTTGAAGGAGCCAATGAGAACGTGTGGCATGTCTTGGTAAGTCAAGTCTATCTTTCTTTGTTTAAGTTGCGCCTGGTAATGCCTGGCCTTGATATAAAACAGTTTACTGCCCACTGTGGGGAAATAGTCACCACATTTTCTTTTAGTATTTTTGTTAAGAAAATAAAAGACAAAGGAGTAGAAAGCTTCAAATCCAAATATACTTAATTTTCTGCCAAAGAGCCTAACTATAAAAATAAAAAAGGTGCATCATACTCTTGTAAGTTTGGGTGATATTCTCAAATGTAAATTCCCACATACTGAACATTTTCAATTATTTAAGATAAAAATATCTTCATAACATTCTTTCCCCCCTTTTTAGGACGTAGAAGTTAATTCTCCTGCCGCACTGGCTGGACTTATTGCACATGATGACTTCATTGTGGGAGCCGACCAGGTGTTACAGGATGTGAGCTTTCTTGTTTGTTTGTTTTTTTTGCTCTTATTCATTATAAACAACTGAACAAATTATACTGTAAATTATGAATTGTTTTTTCTAACCCCTGCAGTCAGAAGATTTCTTTTCATTGATTGAAGCCAATGAGGGGAAACCTCTGAAGCTGCTGGTGTACAACATACAGTCTGATCAATGCAGAGAGGTAGTGGTGACTCCCAATGGAGCATGGGGAGGAGAGGGAAGGTGGGCATTTATTTTGTCTTCAAATTAAGGTGCATATTAATAACATATCGCCATTTTCTAATTGCGTCACTTTTGTCTTCTTTGCGTTACATTCTAGCCTAGGCTGTGGTATCGGCTACGGCTACTTGCACAGGATCCCAACTCGTCAAGTTCAGCCGAACAACCAGAACAAAAGTGATCTGCAGTCCACGGTCACTGACGGCAGTGAAGAGCTGGCTGCAGGTGACCACACTGAGGTACAGGTTATCACATCTTTCTTTGTTTCATTCATTAAATGTTCTTGATAGAGACCTTTTTGTTGAGTTTAGTCTGAAACACACTTTCTCTTTCTTCAGGTGCCTTCTGCGGCTGAATGTAGCCCTTCTAGTGTCAGTGAAACAGGCTTGAATGAAAGCAAAGGAGTTGTGCAGGACCTGTTTGTAACCTCACCCACGCAGCCAGCTGTAGACATAGGTAACCACATCTAATTTTAAGAGGCACAAATTAGTTTCTGGTGTCTGATCTAGGTGTTCTCACGCTAAATAATGGGCATTTGTTCTATGCAAAACACAGATATTTCCAACATACCCGAAGCAAGGACTCCAGACTTATCAGACATGGTTTCCAGCAATGACATGGACCACACATCCATGCTTGCTAATTATGGAGATGACTCTGGTGATCAGTGTAGCTTGGGTAAGTACCTCTAGACCCTCTACAAGTGATTATATTGTGCAGCTTAATATGGCTATTACATGTATTCAATGCCACCTGGCTTGAAAAGAAAAATCAAGAATTGAAACCAGCTTTCGCCTCACATTTCTGGGTTCATTTAATCTCTTAGTTTATGCATTAGTTTCTATTCCTGCAGGATAAAAACAGTTGAACCAAATGAAGAAAAAAATGGCTTTGATAAGTTGTTTGCAGCACAACTAAAGTAGCAACAGCAGAGGATTATTAAACAACCTAATAGGGTGTAACAAAAGCGTAAATCACAGCGTTTCATTACATAGCATCCTCCAAACATTATTGATTGATAGTTTATAATTTTGTATCCCGAGGAGGATTTTTCTTTTGACTACACTTATTTTCTTTTTACAGATAACTTGTCCGTTTCCCAAAGACCTTCATCTCCAGAGAAGGACGAAGAATCGGACATCCAGAAAACTGAGCACGAAGCTGCTGTTGACCTGATCACTGCAACCCCTCCAAGTACACAGGCTGTAGACGACCTCATTGGCCCTGAAGTCACCACAGAAAACCTGGGTGACACAAGTAGCTCAGAGATGCAAGGTACTAGTTCTGAAACCTCACTCTCAGCCAATATTATGATGGGGGAGATGTCAGATCCTGCTGCAACAGATAATTAAGAGGACTGCTGTACCAGAGAATAAGGAACTAGTTTAACTCTCAAGCTGACTTGCATAAAACATTAAGAGCACACCATGATACAGAAAAGCTTCCCCATATGATTGTAAGTTGCTTCACTGGAACTATTTTTAATTTACAAGAGTTTTATTTATATTCAAGTGCCACTACTGCATGCTGAATTGCACATTTAAGAGAGACGGAGCGTTGAGCGGAAAGTTGGTCAGATAGTTATAACTATATGAATGTATTACATAATTTAGGCACACTGTACGTCTCAACATCAAACAGAATGAAGCCTTAGTTGAGTCTTGTTTGCTGTTCAAAGTCATCCTAGTTTGCACTAAAAAGCCAAAGGTGAATAATGTTCGGTTTTGTCGCTCTTACTGTTATCACCTGCGATATAGTCTGACACAAAAGCGAGAAAAAGAAAGTTTGAGCTGGAGTTCACACAGATCCATCATGTGGTTTTGTTTTCATCCATCATTATGGAATTTGGAGTTTATGTTTTTATTTTCTCCTAGGTTAAGTTTGAAATGAGTACACATTTAAAAAGATTTTAATCTCAGGCCTTTACCATTTAAGCCCTTTTGCCTTATGTCTGGTTTTAACTGTCCTCCTTTCTTATGTGTCGGTTTGACTTTTGATTGGTGTAAATGAGTGAGTCACATGTGATGCAGCTCTCTGACTGACTTCTGTTTCTTCCCTTTATATAGATTTGAATTATTTTATGTTTATGATTTTTATGGATGGATGTAAATATTCAAATATTTATAAAAAAAAAGAAAAAGATGCTCAAGATAAACCTGCAGCAGTTTACTTGTCTTTCTGCAGTGTCACTCACACTGACACTATTGTCACAGCTCATACCAGTTGGGAATCAAAACAGATCAAACAACATACACCGTACTTCAGAGAAAAAAACTCAAATTCATTGTAAATTATCTGGATCTGAGCTAAAATTTAAAGGCTTCTTCCCTGGCACATGCTCCATCCCTCCTGTAAATCGGTTGAGTTCTTTCTGCATAATCCTGCTGACAAGCAAAGAAACAGACAGATGAAATCATAACCTCCTCTGCGAAGGTAATGAGTGTTTCCTAGTGATATCAGCATCAGTCATTCACAGAGAAGCGAGTTCATGCTTTGCGACAGCAGGTGTCAGCAAACACCTCATTATAGCTCTCGACGGTTTCGGCTGCTGCATCTTAGATTAGCTCTCTTGTATCATGTTTTCAGTCATTAGTGGAGACGTGTTTCTGCACAATGTTTCTGCGAAAATTACATCATCTCTATGAACTCTTCTGTATAATTATGGGATTTGATCTAGCAGAACAGGAGTAGCTTGCATTATTAGGGGAAACTCAACAACACGGATTCCTCATTTGTATCATTTAATTCAAGGCTGCATATTTAATATCTGGAGCAGGCACCATATGTCATATATATTATATCTGGCTAGGTTGGCCAGCCCACATGTCTGGAAAAGTGGTGTTTCAAAATGAAATCGAAGGCAAATAGGGGAAATCAAATGTTAAATTACAGATACATGCTGATTTGAAATGATAGTTTAGCTCATTATGTAGAGACCTATATTTGCATTTGTTTTTTCCCTTTGATCCAACCAATGAGGATTCTTGTATTCTGATACATAGACTGTATGCAGTATCAACCATTAATAATTCCGCACATACAATATATTCTCAATCTCTCTCACTTTTTAATTCTAAATCAGAATAACCAAATATTGGTGAGACCCAGAAAATGCAAAAAATAAAAACAAAAAAAAAAAAACCCAAAAAAACATGAAAGCTGCAGTCGCAGAGGGGGAAAATGCCTCAATTATTTACCAGGGCACTCTTCAGTTGAAGGGGGGGGGATGGGCATTCAGGGAAAGAAAAGACTGTGTGGGGGAAGAAACACGAGAGGGAGATGGATTTGTCTTTATCCACCAGAGAGTCAGTGGCGTTCTTAAGGAAGCTTTCCTCTGGATCACCTGTGTGTGTGTGTGTGTGTGTGTGTGTGTGTGTGTGTGTGTGTGTGTGTGTGTGTGTGTTAAATGAGGATTATATTTCTAAGATGAATATGTAGCACTAGCTCAAGAGCTTTGGCTTCGCCTACACACTGAAGTTCATCAGTAGAAATGTGGAAATTTCAGTAAAATAAAAACCTTGTGCTAGTTAAATCTACGCCTGTTCAGTACACATTCGAATGGATGGTTTTTATACTCGTGACCTCAGGGTGAATACGTTGTTTCGTTGCCTTCATGTTTCGTTTGCAACATGAACGTAGCATTATTTGAAGAAGCAGCCCCGAGGCAAAAGCCAGCAGCTGCGTACCAGGAGGAGCCAAGGGGTGAAGTGTAAAGGGAGCCACCTCTGGAGGAACATGCCTTGCCTTCATTTTCTCCCTTTTCTGAGAATGTTTCAAAGGACGCTGTGACGCAGCTGAACCCACTTGTCAGCTTAGCTTTATCTCAGCCCATGAGAGGCTCGGCTCACAGGCACTAGCATAGTGGCCGTTGCCTCAGCCCGTCGTTGCAGCATGACAAATTGTGAAATAGAATAACTATGGGGAAAGAGTAAGGGGGGGGGGATCATGGATGAAGGGAAAGGATGAAAAAGGTATAGAGATAAGGCTGCTGAGGACAGCTTTGAAAAATGAGCAAGTAATTGCTTCAACCACTGTGGTCACACATCTCCACATAAAAACTGCATCTTGCTGTTTAGCCTTTGGCTGATGTGACTGTGCATTGTTGACTCTAGGTCACTGAAAAACAGATTGGCATATGTGGACGCTCGAGTGAAATAACATTAAATACAGCAATTTACTGATATGTTTGTGGCGCGTAAGAGTGACGTAAAACGCTATAAAGATCCACTTTTCTGTTCATGTGTGCGGGCACAGCGCCCCAGCCCACTCCCATAGTTCTATTTTCTGTTCTTGTCACCTGCCCGGCCTAATCACAGATATCTTGGCACCAGTTGGCCTATCTTTGGAAGTGCTGGGAGCTGTATTTGCATACAAGCGTCATGCAGCGTTCTTCACAGTGTGCACACAAGAGCCTGGGAATAATCTCAGTAAGTGCCCATCTATGGGAGACCACCAATGTGCAGACCTCCTCTTGTGTAATTCATGCATGAGGACTGTCTATTATTATTATTATTGCTATTAAAGTTGTTTTCATCTCCTGCAGTAATTACCAGCTGGATATATGTTTGCCTCTATTCGTATGTTAATATGTAAATATTACAATTTTGATCTTTAATTACAGTTCAACACTTGCTGTAGCCCTTTGGAATATGAATTCAGTCTTCAGTACACAAGTGGAATATTGTGCAGCCTGATTTAGCATTTCTCGAACCTGTTAGAAAACCAATTGAAAACCAATTAGAAAACTACTGTTGGTGGGGAGGTGAAAAAATAAAGTCCTGATACCTCAATAACATAATAAAGCGTTTGCCAGTGTCTTCCAAAAACAATTTCAAAAACAGTTCATATGAGGATTTTTCATCTCCTCCTTCTATGGTTGAGGTCTGAGATCGCCTAAAACTACATAGTTAGACAAAGATCATGGTCATGGTCAAAGGAAACCAACAATGACTGTTGGTGTGAAAAGGGAAGTAAACTGTGGTGAAAATGATCAAAACAAGAAAACTTGTGGCACTATAACTCCCTCTTGAGAGAGGACAGTCATTATTCACATGAACACCAAAGGTTGCTCGTCAGGAAAACATAAAAATAGACTTTTTTTTTTTTAAACATTTGAAAAAATGGTCAGTTCTGTTCTTCTGTTAAGGACAGTCTATCTGCAATCGTCAGAGCCAGTGTGGCCAAAAATCCAACCAGAAATGTCCAGTGTGATTGATTTATTATCCCATAACTGATAGTTACACCCTAATCTGGGATCTTTTGTTCCCTCTAACTCTCAAATACTCTCTAAAGTAGCAACGAAAAAAAAACTAAAGATAAAACTTTGATCTCGTACAATTTGAACTGGATTCCTTGTGACAACAGAGCGAGAGATAAAGGCAAAATAGGATGCAGCAGCCAATAAAGGAGGTTAAATGTGGTTGCCCTGCTTTATTTCCAATACTAATTGCCATTCAGCGGGGGTGAGGGGCTGGCCACACAAGACAGCACACATTGTCCTACTGTCAAGATGACCCAGCTGATGTCAAGTCCGCACCCATCTGCTACTGCGGCTCCTCCTCTCTTAACCTGAAAAAGACGACTTGGCTGTTACACATCCAAGGCAGGTTGTTAAAATCAATTTTTTTTTAAATTATCATCCAATATCTTCCATTCCCTCAGCTACTTTCATATATTTTGTTTTTAATATAGGAGAATGAACTTGATGTCTAGCCATGAGCTGTTTTGGTTTTTTTTTTTGGTGGATGCTCATTACATTTCTTCTCCAAATAGTTTCGAAGCAATGTTTGTCTGGGTCCTGGAGGCATCTCTTTGAAATGATATCGTAATGTTAAAAAAGAAAATCGCTACAGCATTACTGTCGCAAGGCTTGCTGCTTTCATCTCGGCAGAACAAACACAAGACAAATGGGTTTGTTTCTGCAGCCGTCTCTATATGTTACATACAGATTGCTCAGAAAGGTGTCAAGGTGCTGAACGAGTCTGCTGTGTTTTTGCTCTCTTGTTTTTCTCGCCTTGTTTGATCAGGAAGGCCTTTTTTTTTTTTTTTTTTTTTTCCGGGGGGGGGTTCCGGTGAGGAGCGGCTCATGAGACAGAGGGATAAAGGTTCGGCTCGGCCCTCTCACTGTGAATATGAGTAGATGGAGGAACACGACTCAGCACGTTCCCTGCTGTTTTCCCGTGTCTGTGACATATTTGCTGTGACATCCTCACCACTACCCAGGCATGGTTTTGACCCGACAGGGCGCTGTCTCTTGGAGTTAACCTCATTTACCAGTTAACCGTCGCCCCCACAGAGCGATGCACGCCTGGCTTTGGGCCTCCTCAGTCAAAACATGCACACGATATAGCATGCTATTCTCTAAAAGGACCAACAAAGCATGAAACACTGAATTTTGCAGGACTGGCCTGAATGGCAGAAACACTTGGGCAATGTTTCTGTCATCTAGAAAATGTCCGGGTCATTAGGTAAGGCTGTGAAACACCAGCAGGACTCAGTGTTCATGAAGGAGGTCTGCAGTTACCGAAATTTGCAGCTGCAGTGGTACAGACATATTATCATGCTCTCTTATTTGCATAAATCCTAGTTTTGATGGCAGCATCCCACAGCATGTCTACCCCCCCCTACAAATCTTGAAATATATATATATATATATATATACATATTGGCCACATCATGTTCACAGTGCATGCTGGCCCAGAAAGAAAACTGAAAACGTGTGTGATTTTTCCTCCTGTCGATGAATAAAATCCTCCATCACATGATTTATCCTCCACTTACACACAACAGCTCCTGCACTTATTTCCAGTTGTAGCTCCTTCAATCAGCTTTGGCTCGGCTGTGTGTGTGTGTGTGTGTGTGTGTGTGTGTGTGAGAGAACAGGCGACAGCCTGAATTTGACAACACGGCATGTACGTCACTCAGTTCCTGCCTGTGTCAAGCCAGAAAAAAAAAAAAAAACACTGATCTACCTGATAGCCTGGAGAGGTGTGTCTCTGCAGGATGGCAATGCCACTGTGGTGGAGGGGAATGAACTGTGTCAGCTTTCTCAGAGCAAAATGGAGGCACCATTTCATGGCGCCAGGGAGAGGGGGGGGGATTAGAGGGAATGGTGGGGCAGACAGACATAAAATGT